ACACAACCCCTTTGTAAACTCTCGCGTGTAACCAATCTTTAGGTCAGGTTCGCTGCCTTTCCAGCCTATGATGCATTGCAGATGCTGTAAGACTATTAGTATTTGACAATAATTAAGATGAAGAGGCAACAGACCTCAAAGATGGACTGGCACAGTTCTGCTAACCTTGCACTGGTGTATGCGTGGGTGTTAAACAGGGCAGAATTCTGAATCCGAACGCCTTCGTGCCTGTATGTATGATGATCAGGGCCCTAGTAGTACTCCATCATGGAAACATAATTGTCAATGGTCAAGTAAGTAGCTTTTCTACGTGCAGAAGACAAGTTCAACTTCTCCTTTAATGGGCCGTCAATATACTAATGTTGTCAGAACTACAACACTAATAATTGATTTAAAGGTTACTTACGTTGCAGATCATGTCTAAAACCTCCTTTTCAATCTTGACCTGATCTTTAGCTCTTTTAAGAGCACCTCGGAGTTGTCGAGCTTGTGTCTTCAGACTATGTGTAGTTGCATGTTTCGACTGCCCATTGTTGAGCGTTCCGCGGGACTGGCGCGCAACCATCTCGAAGAAATGTTCAAGCGTCTTAAATTGAGTTGGATCCTTAGTAGGATGTTTTTGGAGGTAGCTTAAGAATATGTTAGCAGGTTTATAGCGTATGTTGGGCATTGCTTTATCAGGCTTACTGCTGCCATAATTCTAGCATGTCCTTATATGGGCGTTTAGTCAAGTGAGCAAGTTTTTTGTAGACTGGCTTGTCGTTACACGACGAGCTCTCAGGCGTAAAACCATTTTGCACAGCTTGGTGCAATCGATCAGCTGGTGTTCTCTTTTTCCGTGATGGTTGTGTCTGTGTCTGGAGACTCATGACTGAAGGGAGGTAGAAGTTTGGTAGAGAATGTAAGAATGAAAAAGGCAGACAGTAGTTAGCTTTTATAGAATTCTAATATACTTAAGAGCTTGCAGATACCTGATAACAGTAATGAATTCGATAGAGGTCTTAGAGAGCCTCGAGTAGGGATTATAAGAATCCCTTACGAAAACCACGCTAATTCTAACTAGGAAACTCAGGAGAAGTACTCAACTACACTGGCCACCAAGTGCCCTCGACGGGCAGCTGGTAGTCGTTAGTTGTTCTCACGGTGCTTTATCGCGATTACTACACTGGGTCTCATCCAGGGTATATCTCCTGGGCACCAGCCCATTACAATTAGGGCTACTAAGAGAGTTTAAGGTATTATCTACCTACCTATAGAGGCCTATTAATAGAGTTAAATATCTATCTTTCCTACCTATTTACTAATTACAGGTTATGCCTGTAATGCTCCCTACTATAGAGGCATCTATACACAATACTATGCATTAAATTCCAACACTTTTGTATTAAAAAAATAGGGTAGGGTTATGCTAGCCAACATCCTAGTCGAAATATCCAAGATAAGAATATGGGTTAGGATCTTCTGCTACAAGTACAGCTGTTTGGACCCGTCTCTTCAGTGTAAATCGCACTTTGAGGATCGGTCCAAGTGGCGCATGACCAGGAGGAGGCGTCCAAAGCCGAGGCGTTTCTACCTCTCTAGTTTCCACAATTTCCCATCCCTGCTTTTGAATCAGGCTCCTCTTGTTGATAAACTCATGTCGAAGGGTTTCGCCCACCCACAGTACCTCTACATGACCACGATTTTCACTCTGGCTTGTATAAGCTACACGGAACTTTTCTATCAAATTTGGTAGGTCCATGGTGAAGATCTGAGCGTACGCACTCTGGTCATCGTCCAGAAGCTCAACACCGGGAAGGCAATTAGGATCTAGCAGTAGTTGCAACTTGAGGGTTGACCAAGCATCCCGACTACCAAGGATAGCAAAAATCGTTTCGATTGCTGGGTTGATATTTTCAACCTCACCTTCTTCGGTTGATTGTGGTGAGCGATACAAGTGAGGGTTACGCTGATAAAGCTCCTCTCTGAGATTGGGGATTTTGACACGCGTTCCGTCACGCCGCTGCCATGCTTGGTCCGGCCGCCGCGCTGTTACGTTGAGTTTGGTAATATAACCTCGATTCCGAGCACCGATGGCCTCAAGCCAGGAGACAATAGGGTCCCAGTTGTGGTCCCCAAGAAAGGAAAACGTATTGTTGGTGTAGAAGGTCATGGCAGCTTCCCGTTCTACAATAGTGTTGTTACAGCAGAGGAGATTTAACGCTAGGTGTTGTATACTCGAGGCTGTAGCTTTGTTGTCCACAATGCGCCGATATTCTAATGCGGTCTTTCCATCAACATCAACGCCTTGGTCGTCGAACTTGTTGATGCACACCCATCTACCAGTCCATACTACGACGCATGTAGACGCAAGCAAAGCAAAGCTGTAAATGCGGTCGCGAATCTCTCGTGGGAGGCTGAGAAAGTTGGTTGGAGGATGCGATAATTGCTCCATCTTAGATTGTTGCATCTTGCCCGTTGAGTGATGAATTGTGTTGGGTAGTAAAGCTGACCTAGAAGATCGTTTCGTTAATACATTAATAGTAGGATTGAATTACGATTACTCACTTCTTTCAATCAGTGCGAATGAAATCAGAACAGTGAGCAGGTTGTAGAATAAATAGGTGAGAACAAGCAGTTTAAAGCCTGCTATAAGCCTCACAGACATATACCCATGCAACCCTCGCGTCTCGCGGCTCGCGGCCGCGCCAAGCCCCCGAGATCGCTCTGTAACGGCAGTTGTCTGTTACTCTGTAACATTTGCAAAGCAAGTTGTTACGCACAGCAAAGATATGCAAGCACCTCGGACCAAGCAATCAACAGCGCAAGGGAGGAAGGGGCTTGAAGAAGTGCAGCAAGGTGGGACGACGATGCGCGGGGTAGAATTAGGTCAGTCGGTCACGTGACGTAACAGCGGCCTTGGCAGGATGGCAGACAGCTGTCTGTAAGCAACGCTAGCCCTACCCACATTCAATCTTTCCTATTCGATCAGATCCCCTTCTAGGCTTCTTCTTCCCCGGCCTCGCCCCTGCGACCTCCCCGACTTGGTCCCTTCTTACTGGTGGCACAAGCATCTATGGTCGGGTGCTCTGCACCTGTGGGTTGCTTCTGTTATTTGGGAAGTATGCTTCGGAATATTTGGAGAAATTGCTGGAAACCTACTATTGTCAGTATATCCGTCCTGAGCGACAATATTGACTCTTAACACACCTATAGCTTCAAAGATTGAGGTACCCTATAGTTACCGATGAAGCATATAATATGCTCATTTTCTGGGTCTGCGCTCAGCCGTTTGCACGATCGGCACGCACTTCCCTCGCGAAGGTAGATCTCATATCATCCACGGAACATGCCGAGAAGAAGTCACTGCACTATTCACCCTGCAATGGTCGCTCATACTTCTGGCACAAACGCCGTCTATTTGTATTCAATCGCCAAAGAACTCTAGGAGAGTTCGGTACTACCAGGGAGGAAGCCTATTTCCTAAGTTCTGTTATCTGAATAGCTATAAATAAGCCGAATGTTTTCACAATTACGCT